AAACAAACAATCATTTGTGCATCTCCATGGAACCTCACTTTGTCAATCTTTAGAATGTTTCTGCCCATCTCATAGAATAGCTTTCAATTTGCTAAGAAACTATACCTCTTGAAAATATATAATCCATTTCTTGATCTTCAAGGGTTTTTCTTGTATTTTTGTACACACCTTTGTCACTGCTTTTTTAAGTTTATATATCAAGTGTTTGATTATTTACTAATGAAATACAGCTTTAGAAGCCATTCACATTATCTTAAAAAAGTTTTCCCACAAAATGTGTAAATGCCAACTACCAGCAGAAACAGTGCTTGTGTCCTCTTATCCTGTTGTCTTCAGAATTCAGCACAAAAAGAATGAGGCCTTTATTCTTGTGATAACCTGGATAACATTGTAAACTAACTTTTTTGAATAGAGTTGTTTGAATATTTGTTTAACAACAAGTAAAAGCTTGGAATGATCTATTCTTTCATTGCGGGTGTGTCTGTGAGCCAGACTAATTTTGGAGAATTCCACTCCTCATCAGTGACTCAGAACACTACCACCAATGAAACTTCAGACCAAACCAAGCCTTTATAGTAGTGAAGTATTGAATATTGAAATGGTATATTTGAGTGTTTTACACTCGCAAATAAGAAAATTATCATTCTATAGGTATTTGAAGAACTTGTAGCGTTCCACCGTACTTTAATTCTTCATATTGTTAGCTGACACTGGGCAGCTGGTACATAATTGGATAGAGTTGTTTAAACATTTGTTTAACAACAAGTAAACTAGTCTGGCTCACAGACACACACCATCTCTGATGCATATTCCTATATCTCCAGCCTTGAAACATTACTTTCATTTCTTTCACGGAGGTCAACTTTTTAAATTCCAGGCTGTACCTTTTAGTCTGGCATTGACACTTTGTCTTCTATCATGTAGTCAAGGCCTTTGCTCATCATCTTCATGACCAGGGTTTGCAGTTCCATCACTACATGTATGACTGGTTACTTTTAGCTGCATCCCAACAAGCCTCTTTCACTCATACACATTTCTTCCTACAGGAGGCTACTCAGATTAGATGGTTAATTGAGCTGGAGAAGTCCTATCTCAACCCCACACAGTATTTGATCCATTTGCAGGTGTTTTTCAACATCCTCCTTAGGAGGGCCCAGCCTTCTCCACTTCATTTGAGGTCGATGGGGCTCTTGGTTTCCAAAGCCAAATCCTCTCCTTCTCTCCATGTGCACAAGGTTCTATCTCATTTGGGGACCTGGGCATGCTACACAGTCAATGGAATCTAGTTTGGGATCTCTTGGATTCCATTATCTTCCTCCCTCCTTCCCTTCAAGTAGACTTTGCCTGGTGGCTCAACAGAGACAACACCTTGGCTGGTGTTCCTCTGCCTTCTCCCCATCGAGATTTGCACCTGTTCATGGTTGCATCTATTATG